GATGATGCGAATGTTGAAAATGACAATGACGCTGGTGCTCGTGATGATGATGTTGTTGTTGATGATGGTGATGGCGACGATGATGATGATGATGATGATGATGATGATGATGATGATGACGGTGGCGATGCTGATGATGATGATTACGATTGTGAGGGTGAATTGGTTGATATGGTGATGGCGACGATGATGATGATGTGGTTGATGACGATGCGGATGATGATGATGATGCTTACGATGATGGTGGTGATGATGATTGTGATGGTGTCGGCGATAGTGATGCTGGTGATGATGTTGATGATGATGATGATGATGATGATGATGATGATGATGATGATGATGATGATGATGATGATCATGATGATGGTGATGAGGATGAGGATGCGGATGATGCTGACGCTGATGATGGTGAAGCTGATGACGATGATGACGATGACGACGACAATGATGATGACGATGCTGATACTGATGATGATGATGCTGCTGATGATGATGATGATGCTGATGATGATGATGATGATGACGATGCTGATGATGACGATGACGATGATGATGCTGCTGATGATGATGAGGATGATGGTGATGATGATGATGATGCTGGTGCTGTTGATGATGATGCTGATGAGGATCATGATGATGATGATGCTGCTGCTGCTGGTGATGATGATGATGATGATGATGATGATGATGATGATGATGATGATGATTATGATGATGATGATGAGGAGGAGGAGGAGGAGGAGGAGGAGGAGGATCGGGTGAGTGGTACGGGGGGTCTACACATTGGGTGGTGGTGGTGGAAGAAAACGGATTGGCACGCTTTAAGGGCCCTTTAGGGCCCCTTTGTTGCTGCGCACCTTTTTGAACATGTTCGGCGCGGCGACTGCGACCGCGTTTTTCTGCGCAGTGGAAACTGCACGCGCGAAGCATCTGACATTATCCGGCTAAGGGAGAGCAACGCCAGGCCCCGAGGGGGTTGCGCGGCGAGACCCGGGCCGCGTGCGCGCGGCCGCCGTGCCCCGCAAGAAGCGGAAACATGTTTGGGGTGCTTTTTCATTTAGGGCAATGCGGAATTGGGCCCCTTTAGGGACTTGCTCGAGCTACGTACCGATCGGTCATTGAAAGTAGGTATTTTTCGGCGTCACCCCAACATGCTGATACTACATGTGCGTCGCCACAAGGGGACGATGCGCGCACCGAGAAATCTTATAGTATATGCGTCGTGGCGGGCGCTTTCTGGCCACACCGCTCGGGAAACGATCTACTACAAGTCGGACATACTATATGTTTGCGTCGGACACGCGCCTCCAAGGAGAACATATAGTACTAGTATGTCTTTGTGCGTCCCAATTTTTGGAGTCCCAGGCTCCAATCTATTTTAAGTGCCTTCCTACTTCAATGATCGAGTGGCTTCACCTTCTCCGTCCATCAGGGGGCAGGCGGACACCCAATCTACTTTCAACGCCTTCCGACTTCATGTTTCTGCCTACTTCTTCCGACCGATGGGTATTTACCCTCGGTGGCAGTTTGAGGCCATGTGTGGGGCACTGTCGTGCGTTGTAACTTTTGGCCGCCCGCATTTTTTTTTCTTGCCCGCAATATAATGCCTGAACCGGAGGCTGCCGTGCGCGATGTTCGCGGTGCAGCTCTGTCGCCACGTCAAGAGTTGCGCCGCAGGCATGAGAGAGCCGCCGTCTGCGACGGAACGTTCAAATCGAGCAGCGTACAATGTGTGAGAAGGGCTTTCGCCTCCAGTTGCCTCGTTTGGAAACGCGCGTTGCCCCCCCCCCCCCCCCCCACACTTGCGACTCACCTGAGATGATGGTGATGATAGCGGTGATGACGACGATGATGGTGCTGATGGTGGTGATGATGACGGTGAAGATGAACATGATTATGAAGATGAAGATGCAGATGAGGATGCCGTTGTTGCTGCTGCTGCAGATGATCATGTCGATGGTGATGGTGATGATCATAATGCTGCTGCTGCTGTGCCTGGTGCTGATGATGACGGTCATGATGATGGTGATGACGATGATCATAATGCTGCTGCTGTTGCTGATGATGATGATGATGACGATGATGATGATGATGATGATGATGATGATGACGATGCTGCTGCTGATGATGATGATGATGATGATGATGATGATGATGCGGCTGCTGATGATTAAGCGGCTGCTGATGATTATGATGACGATGGGGAGGAGGACGATAAGGAATATTGAAGATTCGGATGAGGAGGAGCAGGAGCTGATGATGATGACGATGATGATGATGATGATGATGATGATGATGATGATGATGATGATGATGACGATGATGATGATGATGACGAGGGGGATCCGCCTACTCTTTGCGCTGGCCAGGCGCGGGCAGACCGCTGTGACTCGGCCTTCGCTCCCGAGTTGTCCCCACGGACCACCGCCACCGTCCGCGGTCGACGTCGGCAGTGCCGGATCGCTGCGGGGGAGCAGCCCCCGGAGAAGCCGCGGCAGTTTGGTCTCACGTCCGCCGCCTGGGCAGCATCGCTTAGAGCTGCGCGGCGTCTCCTTTGCACTCCGTGTGTATAGTGTGTCGCTCGTTTCGGTCTGCGCCATCCACGGCGGGGCTCCTGCGAGAGCTCCGAACGGAAGTTTGGAGCTCGTTTTCAACCTCCACTGGAGAAAACGAGGGGGCGACGGAGCCAAATACGCTCAGAATTCAACCTTCAACGGGTCACTGGAGAAAACGTCCACACTCAAGATCGCAGAGATCCAAAGGCAACGCATCCTCGAAGACCTGTCAGGGTGGATGCTGTGTGGGCCTCGTGCATGCCTGTCTTAGCTTGTCTTAGCTTCATGTGCTCAATGACAGTGATCTTGCGAGACTTCCAAACGGAAGTCCGAGGACCTGTTGGAGTGCGCGTTGTGTAGGTTTTGCTCTGGAGCAGCTTGCGGTTGCGCTTCCAGATGATGCGTCGTCGAAGAACTGGGACATACGCTTGGTCGCCAGCGCCTGCGGATGGAGGGAGCGAGGGAGGGAGACAAGAAGGCAGTCAGCGGGCGTGTAAAGCACGAGGGGAGGGGATCGAGGGAGGGCAGGGGATGGGCGAGGAAGGGAGGGAGAGAGAGTGGCAGGGAATGAGGGAGGAGGAAGGGGTAAAGGGATGCAGGGACGGAGGCATGGAGGGCAGGACAGTGGAGTGTGAGGGACGGGGGGAATCAGGGGTGGACGAAGGGGTGGACGGACGGAAGAGACTCGAGGGAGGAAAAACCACCTGGACCCGACAGTTGACGTGTACTAAACGGCCCTGGGCGTTTACTTCACAGCCCTGCCCTGTTCGATTCCTTCCTTGTGTGCGTTTACTAAACGGCTTCGCTTGTCGGGGTGATGATTATCGGGTTGCATTTTCTGCTCTCTAGAGAAGGACATCGCAGTTGAGGGACAGAGTGAGACAGTGAGCGTGGAACGTAGGGACGGAGAGGGAGGGGGGATGGTTCGTGTTGACCCAAAAAGGTGTCCAGCGACAAGGGGATGGTGCAATATATTTGGTGCAGTAGATTTGTGGAGTTGCGATACATGTGCAATACAGTTGCCCCAAATCTATTGCACCACCCCCTTTCCGCTGGACCGCTTCTGTGTCACCCATTTGGGTGGGACGGCGAAAGCGAGCGGGGGAGCAGGCAAGCGAGCCAGCCACGTGGTCGGACCAGCGCCAGATGTCGCGCGGATAGTGCAGAGCTGCGCTCGCCGTGGACCGCGAAGGAGCGCTCGGGGGCCGCACTTCGGGCCGACAAGGAGGTCCAGTGATGGGCCTGTTTTCCACCACCACCACCATAAGTTGGAGGGGGAAGGAGGTGGAGGATGAGGAGGAGGAAGAAGAAGAGGAGGAGGAGGACCCCCACCCCCTGCTACCTCTTGTGGTGGTGGTGGTGGAAAACAAGCCCACCATCCAGAGCGGTGCGTGGTGATGCACGCGCCGCCTTCGCGGTTGCGCACGCAAGCTTCGCACGCTGAAGTTGCGACTTCTCAGTTCCTGTTCGTGAGAAGTGTGGCGGCATTTCGCACTGCACAGCAGCGTGTCGTTTCGAGAGCCCGTCCTCTTGACAGTGGGGGAGGAATGCCGCCTGGGTTGCCGTGGTCGGAGAGCAGGCTCGCGTCCGCAGAGCGCCCCTTCTCTGCACTGGCCAGCCTGTTCATGCTTGCGTAGGTGACGGTGTCCCTGGCGAGCGGGGAGCCGAGATAGCCCGCGGCGGCTCTGGTGTCAATGTGCTCACGTCGGAGCTCCATGTACAAGCCACATGTCAGGCGTTGCCATACTCCTCCGTGTCCCCGTCGTCGTCCTCATCATCCGTTCTTCTCCTGCTGCTCCTCCTCGTGCCTCCCTCTACTCCCCCTGCCTCCTTGCCCCCATCACCCTGCCCCTCCCTCTACCCTGCCTCTTCTTCCTCCGTAGCTTTTCGTCGCTCTCGTCCTCGTTCGCCGTCCTCGTCTCCATCCTCGTCGTCCTCGTCTTCATCCATTCTTCCTCCTCGTCCTCGTCGCCATCCTCGTCTTCCTCGGCCATTCTTTTCATCGTCGTTCCTGCTCCCCCATTCTTCATCCTCGCCGTCCTCGTCTTCCTCTTCCTCGTCCTCTTCCTCTTCCCACCCTGCATCCTCGTCTTCCTCTTCCTCTTCCTCGCCGCCCTCGTCCTCGTTCCTCCCTCCTTTCACCCTTTCCCTGCCCCCGCCTCTTGGGGTCCCAGCATCCGCCGACCCCTCCCACGCCAACCTGCCTGCCGAGTGGCAGCCCCTCGCGTGTCGCCGGAGGCAGCGCTGGAGGGCACCCGATCTCCTCCTCCTCCTCCTCCCCCTCCTCCTCCTCCTCCTCCTCCTCCTCCTCTTCCTCCTCCTCCTCCTCCTCCTCCTCCTCCTCCTACCACAGAAGGCGGCTGCACACCACCACCCACCCCTGGCCAGGGCCACCCTTGGGCCCCTCGATCTGGTGTACAAGGCCCTCCGGTCGCCCCGCCCGAGGCCGAGATGCTGCACGTGCAGCGTCGCGGGACGGCCCTGGTCAGGGACGGCCGTGGCGCACAGCTCTGGCGTTCCCGACTGCCCCCTCCGCCACCACCATCCCCTCTGCCTCTCCCATCCGCCCCTGCCCCCTGCCCCCCTTCCGCGCCTCCCTCTCTGCCCGCCCCTCCCCTCCGCCCCTTCCGGTCTCTCCTCTGGTCCTTCCTCCCGACCGGGCGAAGAGGACTGCGCTCGTGCACCGATCCTGGCAGGGCCCACCCTTGACCCAGGATCGGTGCACATGCCTTCCTGGCCAAGGCAGGAGGGCGCATGCACCGATCCTGGGCCCAGGATGGGCCTGGTCAGAATCGGTGTACGGTAGGTTCGAATCGTGTCGACCAGCGGCGGCCCCGCCAGTGGCGCTCAACGTTGAACGCCGCGGGCGACGCAGGATCGCTCGATGTGTCACGATTTGGACGCTTCGGAACCGGCCGATCGTTCCATGTCGAACGATTCCCGCGGTGGCAGAAGCCAACGCCACGAGCCTGACGTATGTGCATAAGTTCTCTTGGAGGCCTCCTAAATGGGGTCCGAGTAGATGGGGTCGGATGATCGTCCGCATCGCCAATGCATCGGCGATGCATCGTTGATGTATCGGCGATGCATCGCCGACGTCGGCGGTGCATCGGCGACGCCAACGTGGCGAAAATCGGGCTCCGCATCGAGCCGCGTCGCCGATGCATCGGCGATGCGGCGCGATCCTCCGACCCCATCTACTCCGACCCCGCCCAGGATCGGAAGCTGGGCAAGGGCTGCTAAAACCGTGGCTGCGAAAACGGCCCTCCCGGAAGGAAAAAACAACTTCCCGGAATGAGGCGCGGCACGCGAAACAGTCAACGGGTTTCTTCCAGGAAGGACGAAGACAATTTCCCGGAGGTCGATTTTAGCAGCCATGGATTTAGCAGCCCTTGCCCGGCTTCCGACAGGAGGCCCATAGATCCCTTTCCGCCACTCGATCGCCGCCGCCGCCTGCAGCCGCGCCCTTCGGCGCGCCCTCCCCCCGGCCGGCGTGCGCCGCCGCGCTGCAGCCCAGATGGCCGGGGGGCGGCGGCCCCCTCGCCGCGGGGGCCCGGGGGCGCCGGCGCCGGCGGCCAGGAGCGGCGCCTCTCTCGCCTGAAGTCGGGCGTGTCCCTTTACAGGAGGGAAGTTGAAGAACAGTCAAAACATAGCATGGGGACGATTTTTGTTTCTCGTTACTATCTTTTTTGTTTGCTTTCGTTTTTACAACTTTGCATTTTTCTTCCAAGATCCGCCTGTAGGGGGACAGGCCCGACCTAACTCTCGCCCCTGCCGGCTATGGCGGCGGCGACGATGGGCGTCGGCGACGGCGGCGGCGACGACAGAGAGGAGGGAGGTCGGAGGCCTAGAGTTAGGCAGGGCATACATTGACAAAATGATGCTGGAGAAAAGCCCCAATCAGATGTTTGTTTGGGGCTATAGGGTTATTTTTTTGTTATATATATATATGTATGTATGTATGTATATATATATATATATATATATATATACATCCCGGGGGACGAGGACCGGGGGCCTGGGACCGCGACCTCGACAGGGCATGGGAGGACCGGGCGTCGTTTTCCCGGTATTTTTACAGGGTTTCGGCGACCCGGGGCCAACAGGGCCCCAAGAGGCTGCAGGGAGGCCCCAGGAGGCCGCAACGATGGCTCCAGACGCCTTTCAAGACGACTCCCATGACGCCAAGAAGGCCCCCGAAGGCCCCGAAGACGCCCCAAGAGGCACCCCGAGAGAGGTCCAATAAGCAAAAATCGTAGATTTCCCATGGGAAAACTGATATTTTTGGCGTGTTTGCCTTTTGGGCGTCCACTGCGTCCACGACGGCCCACAAGGCACCCAAGCCCGTCGAGGATTCCCCCAAGAGGGCCCCAAGACGGCCCACGAGGGGGCCAAGGCGGCCCACGAGCCGCCCAAACCGCCCAAGAACGCCCCAAGGCGGCGCCCAAGACGGGGACGAGGAACGAGAAATTCAGGTCTTTTGGCCCAAGAGACCCCCAGGAGACCCCAAGAGGCTCCAAGAAGGGGCCCAGAAGCCCCAAGAGGCCCCCATGAGACCCGACAAAAACACCAACAGAGGCTCCGAAGACTCCCCAAGAGGCACCCCGAGAGTGGCCCAATAAGCAAAAATCGTAGATTTCCTATTGGACAACTGATATTTTTGGCGTGTTTGCCTTTTGGGCGTCCACTGCGTCCACGACGGCCCAAGAGGCTCCCAAGCCGGTCGAGGATGCCCCCAAGAGGGCCCCAAGACGGCCCACGAGGGGGCCAAGACGGCCCACGAGGCGCCCAAACCGCCCAAGAACGCCCCCCCAGGAGCCCAAGAGGCCTTTCCGGGGAGCCTCCACAGCGCCCCAGGAGGGCCCAAGACGCCTCCCAGGAGCACCCAGAATTCGAAAGGATGGTCCAAGACGTTCCCAAGCAGCCCAAGTCAGCCTTCGGACGGCTCTCGAGGCTCCGAGGTGGCCTCCAAGAGACCCCAAGAGAGGTCCGAGAGGCGTCCTGGGACGGCCCGAAGATGTCCAAATCGTCGATTTCCATTTGGTTTTTCCAGCATGTTTTTGGCTTCTCGCGTTTTCGAGCTTCCAATGGTCCAAGAGCGCCGAAGAGGCTCCCAAGACCGTCCCAAGACCACCCAAGAGACCCTCAGGACGGCCCCAAGGCGAGCCAAGAAGGCTCCAAGACTGCCGAAGAGGCGCCCAGGACAGACAGCCTCAGACTACCCCAGAACAGGCCCAAAATCGGCCCAAGAGCGGGAGCAGGAGGCTTTCAGCGACCTCCGAGAGGCCTCCGGGACCCCCCAGAGGCCCCCAACACACCCCCGATCCCTGAGAGGCACCAAAAAGACCCCGACGAGGCTCCAAGATCAGCCCAAAAGAGCTGCGAGAGCCGTCCCGAGAGAGCCCAAAGAGGGTCAAATCGTTGATTTCCAATGGTTTATTCTAATGTTGCACAGGTTGCATGCCGGGACCGCCGCTCATTTCGGCACACCCCTCATGTGGTTCGTAGCCCCACAGGGAGCTCCACCGAAGGCCCCAATGGCACAGGTTGCATGCGGGGACCGCCGCCCCCATTTCGGCACACCCCTCACGCGGTTCGTGACCCCACAGGGAGCTCCACCGAAGGCCCCAGTGGCACAGGTTGTATGCGGGGACCGCGTGGCCCCACAGGGAGCTCCACTGAGGCCCCTGTGGCACAGGTTGCATGCGGGGACCGCCACCCATTTTGGCACACCCCTCGCACGGTTCGTGGCCCCACAGGGAGCTCCACTGAATGCCCCAGTGGCACAGGTTGCATGCGGGGACCGCCACCCCCATTCCGGCACACCCCTCACGCGGTTCGTGGCCCCATATGGAGCTCCAACGAAGGCCCCAGTGGCACAGGTTGCATGCGGGGACCGCCACTCATTTCGGCAAACCCCTCACGCGGTTCGTGGCCCCACAGGGAGCTCCACCGAAGGCCCTAGGGGCACAGGTTGCATGCGGGGACCGCCACCCATTTCGGCACACTCTTCACGCGGTTCGTGGCCCCACAGGGAGCTCCACCGAAGGCCCAAGTGGCACAGGTTGCATGCAGGGACCGCCATCTATTTCGGCACACCCCTCACACGGTTCGTGGCCCCACAGGGAGCTCCACTGAAGGCCCCAGCGGCACAGGCCGCATGCGCCCGACGCCCATTTTGGCACACCAGAGCTCCACCGAAAGCGGTGCCCACAATGCGGTACTCGCAGCTGCATATGGTTGGGTCCTTCGTCAGGCTAATTTCTCGGGGCGAAGTGCTCGAATTCTCCATTCGGGTTTCCCTCCTTACTCTCCTCTTGGGGTCGTCCTGGGGCTCTCCCTGGTGGCTTCGGGGGCCCTGTTGGGGCCCGCTTGTGCCGTCCGGGAGCCTTCTTGGCGGCGTGCGGGGACTTTTGGGTTGATTTTGGTGGCTTTCTGGGCTGCTGTGGGACTCGTGGGAGCTCAAGAAGCGAATGTGTTCAACTTAAACGTTTTCCTTCGGTTAGGGGCCGAGGTTTGGTTTTGCCGGGCCTCTTGGGGCGCATCCTGGTGGCGCGTTGGGGCGTCTAGGGGGCCTCACGGGTCTGCTATGAGCCGCGCGACAGGCCTAGAAGCGAAAGTGCTAAACTTGGGCGTTTCCCTTAGGGAACAGGCCGAGGTTTGCTTCTGGGAGCCTCTTGGGACGCGTCCTGGCGGCGTATCGGGGCGTGCAGGGGGCTTCTGGGGCCGTCCGGAGGCAATGCCGGACGTCTTGGAGCGATCTCTTCGCGAGTCGTAGCCCTTCGGGGCAGTCCCCATATGGAGCTCCACCGAATGCCCCACTGGGGGCCTTCGCATGCGTGTTCCACACCCAGGACAGCGTTTCGTGGCCCCATAGACCATAGAGGGAGCTCCACCGAAGGCCAGAATCGGGGTGTTCGCATGCGTCTCCCCCACCCAGGACAGCGTTTCGTGGCCCCATAGGGAGCTCCACCGAAGGCCCCACTGGGGGTGTTCGCATGCGTCTCCCCCACCCAGGACAGCGTTTCGTGGTCCCATTGTGAGCTTCACCGAAGGCCCCAGTAGGGGTGTTCGCATCTCCCCCACCCAGCACAGTATTTCGCGGCCCCAGGGAGCTTTACCGAAGGCTTCAATCGGGGTGTTGGCATGCGCCTCCCCCGCCCAGGACAGCGTTTCGTGGCCCCATAGGGAGCTCCACCGAAAGCCCCAGTGGGGGTGTTCGCATGGGTCTCCCCCACCCAGGACAGCGTTTCGGGGCCTCATAGGGAGCTCCACCGAAGGCCCGACTGAGGGTGTTTGCATGCGTTCCCCCATCCAGGACAGCGTTTCGTGGCCCCATAGGGAGCTCCACCGAAGGCCTCAATCGGATGTTCGCATGCGTCTCCCCCGCGCAGGACAGCGTATCGTGGCCCCATAGGGAGCTCCACCGAAGGCCCCAGTGGGGGTGTTCGCATGCGTCTCCCCCACCCAGGACAGCATTTCGTGGCCCCATGGGGAGCTCCACCCAAGGCCC